CAAACTTTGCTGCCATCTAATGGTTGCCCAGGTTTTTTTCAACATGAACATTATGCTTTCTTTCTAATGCAAGCCGATCATACATTTAGCATTTGGGAATTGTTGCTAATTAAACTTAAGAGCAGCAGAGTTGATTCAGTTCATACATCACAGTAAGCCATAATTTATTTATTTTGAGGAATGAATCATAGTTGTCAGAATCATACCATGCAGGCTTATTATTAACCCCAGTGGTTGAGTACATTCCTTCTGAGCAAAAACCAAACAGATCCAATGTAATATTAAGCCTTCCATTGATTGTTTCTAAATGTAAAGAAATTTAGTTTCAGAGGGAGAGCCAGTTTGACGTAGTACCTTAGTTAAGGCGCTGGACTAGAAAGAGGTAGATCATGAGTTCTACTTCTCACTTTAGGCATGAAGCCAGCTGGATGAATAATCTTGGCTCAGTCACAAGAGGGAGAGGCAAAAGAGAGATGCAAAACAAAAAAAGTGATAAGAGCTTTTTCACTCCTAAGAAAGCGGCAATGGCAAATCACTACTAAAATCTTATCAAGAAAACTTCAGGGACTTACCTGGGGAGTCAAGACCAACACAAAAGCACAGAATAAAAGAGCCTCATTAGGAGCCCAATTAGCATTAATTGTACATTTAACTTAGCACATAGCAAGATAACACCTAATTTGCCTCATCCTCACAGATCTGTGCTTATCTATTCAGTGAAACAGAAGAAATGCATCACATCCTCCCACCAAAAGAAGACCCCAGTTTTGTTTCTGCATGAAATATCCATATGCAAATCCATAAGCATATAAATGCCAGTTTCAGTGTGCCACGTGTTTGAGGTTATACATGGCATATGGCCTAGTTATTTAAGAAACCTCCTGCCTCCCATAGTATATGCTTGGCTGATCTGATCTGGCAGGGTTGGCACTTTCCAGGTTCCTTCAGTTAAATAATACCATCTGCAGGGAACATCATCTGTGTAGCAGTGAGGGAGTCCAGACAGGAAAACAAAACCATGCCTTTATTGTGGATTACTTTAACAGAATCTTGAAAATCTGAAAGAACTTCTCCTCTCCCCTGCCCTTACTTTCCAGAAAACTACTGGAGAAGGTCCTTTCTTAAATGCTTTCTTCACCCCAATCCAATGGTGGGATTTAGCCGGTTTGCACCACTTCGGCAGAACCGGCAGCTAATTTTTTGTTGCCCAGGCCCAGAACGGACTTCCGGAAGCGGCATCCACACAGAGAATCGGTTGTTCACATATTTGAATCCCACCACTGCCCCATTCCTTCCTTTGGACTCAGATTTCTCTTGTAGGCATTATCTAAGGCTGCAGCTCTGCCTCTTGTCTCCTAAGGTCTATTACAAGCCATGCCTGCCTTCTAGAATGAGATCTCTTTGAAGATTGAGATGCCCCACCCCACCCCCACTGATGTTTGGAAGGGCGCAGAAGAGCTGACATTTTACCCAGGCCCTTGGCAGGCATGATTGAACCTCCCTTTTCTTCTTTTTCTTTGTTTTCAGAGGGGTTTTTTTCCCCTACCAACTTGGTTCTTTTTTGTTGGGGGGGGGGGTTGTTGTTGTTTTAATGTTTTTTTTAGTAATTTGTAAACTGTCAGAGTCGTTAAATTCAGGCAGCATATACATGTAGTAAATTATTATCATCACATGAAAACTTATACAGAAATACATCCCTATTAAGGATTGTGACAGTGTGCCCTAGTCACATGGTCACAATTCAGAGTGCTCAATGTTAATGATCAACTTCAAATTTCAAACTCCCTCTCCGTTATGATGATGGTTTATCTTGATACCAGCTTTTGTCCTTAGGCTTGAGTGGCATGGGCATCCAGTGTGTGTGTGTGTGTGTGTCAAAAATGTCAAGATGGCAGCTACAACACTGTGAATATAGTTCTGCTCCTTTTCTTATCTATGTCACACTAAGAAGGATATTGTGGAGTTCAAAAAGAAGTGCAAAGAAATAAGCAAAGTTTGGGAGAAAAACATCTAAATTAAAAAGAAACCCAACGCCCCAGCCTTTTCCAAGATGGTGCTTTCCGGAGAGGTTAGGTCTGTGGCTTCCAGAATTCTCAGCCAGCATGGGATTTGTAGCTTAAACTCATTTGGTTTGTGAAGGATGCTATATATTAAAATTAAAATTATTTTTGATAAAGTACCAAAAATACAGAGGGAGCAATCTCATGCAGATTCTGGGATTTGAAGAGGTAAATTAAATAGAACAAGGGCAAGGTTTTCTCCCCTCCTCACATACACAGATGCCCTGGTCTGACCATTCTTTCATGCTTTTCCTTCTATTTGGCTGGAGAAAGGCTACTTCAAAGTGCAAAGAGCTTCACCCACCAGCATCCTTCCCTCCCAGTGTTTGAATGACTGCAAAACAATTCAGCTGTAACTAAATTCACTGTTGTTGTAAACATTTATTAGCAATTTCTAAAATATGTACAAAAGATATCCATTTTAAAAATAATCAGATTTTAACCAAAAACTCCTCACTCTGTAGTATTAAATAAACATTTCAACTCTATATTACACACTCAAGTCCTGGGCCAGAAATTTGAGTCTCCCCCTGTCCCCCCATTGCTGCCCCACCCCATCAACACTATATATTTTTTTTACTATTTGAAGACCTCCTGAAAGCTCTCTCATGTTTAACCTGCCTGTTCTTAGACCCAAGCCCTCTGGGCCTCATCTTGTGCTTCCTCCAGTTACAAAAGGCCAGCCCACAAAACTGGAGTTGCACAACATGATTAGCTGTAACTCAACAAACCACAGTGATTTGGTTACACAACCAATTCTAGTTAAGCCAGCAAACTGTGGCTAAACAAAACATGACTTATCAAAAGTGGTGCATCTGTCTTGACTCCCAAGGGGAGAGACTAGTAGAAAGTCTCGCCGACATGAATAATCTGCTTCCTTCCCACCATGATGCTCAAATGATGCTAACTCAGGCCATTTCCACATCTCCACTGTTTTCATTTCTCAATCTTTAGAAGCAATTTGTAAGTGATTGCTTCTACCAACTGAAGAACTAGAAGTAAAGATCACTGCCCTGATCCAAACTTTGCTGAAACTAGAGCACTAATTTTCAACCTTGGCAACTAGGGTTGCCAGGTCTGCTTCCAAAAAATAGCGAACAAGCGGGGGGGGGGGGGGGTTAAGTAGTAAAAAAAGTAGACTGTACAGCTTTAGATTACGTACCATTTCATCATAAAGCTTTTGAATAAAAAAAATGTCCACTATTTTGTGAAAAAAAATAGTGAACATAATGTGAAAAAAGTGGACTGTCCACTCAAATAGTGGACACCTGGCAACCCTATTGGCAACTTTAAGGTGCATGAACTTCAACACTCAGAGAAAAGTGACTTCCTCCTGGGAGTTGAAGTCCATACATCCTAAAATTACCAAAGTTGAAAAACAATGCTCTAAGCGACAAATATCCCCTTACTTCCAGTACAGAAAGGGAAACTAGCAAACCCATAAATTATGATTTCTTGCTGAAAGAAGAAACTGAAAAAACTGAGAGGGTGCTACAAAGTTATCAAAGTCAAGGTTCAGATGTTCCTCAGGTTATGACCTTGAATGTTCGGAGAACATTCAAGCTTGGGACAGTGCTCAACAACTTATAGTGGGTTCTCGAAGTTCCAGCCATCACAGTATCCCCACAGTCATGTGATCACAATTTCCAAAGTTCTCTACTGACTACCGACAAGTAACTTTAGTAATGAAGCTGGCAGGAAGTCAGAAGTTGTGGTCACATGAGGTTCTTGCTCAACAACCCACATGGTCATTGCTGAACAATACAAACTGCTTTACTTAGCAACGGCAACTCCAGGCCTAATTGTTGTCATAAGCCAAGGGCAACTTATACCAGAGATGAATTGGAAATTATTTAGTTCAGTCCTCCAATACTATCAATGCTGCAAAAATGTAAAAATTTTGAGTTGCTACCAAATCCTTGTGTGGAGCTGCCATGGAGGATTATATCAAACCAGAGAATTCATATAAATCCCAAGGTGCATATCTGCCTCTGGTTTTCTTCCAGAGTAGTTGTTGGATCAAAGGACAAGAGAGGAGTACTTTTTCAGACCAGTACTTGTGGGATGATGCCTCTTCTTACCAATTTTCTTTATTCTTTCCAAGCCAAAAGAATGTTGGAAAGAAATTACTTAAAGAAACTGTATAGGTGTTTTAAAAGACTCTAACCAACTGTCCTTCCAGATTATTCTCTAAAAACTGAACAGAACAGAACCAAATTTGGTGTGAGGAAGGAAGCTGGCAAAAGATTAAAAAAATGGGTTGAATCAGGGCAGTAACTTAGATTGTGGCTGATTCATCCATTCTAAGCCGAGTCCCTCTTCCTTCCTGGTCATATGAGTGGAGTAGCTATTAAGAGATTGGAAAGAGTTCCAGAAGTGTGCTCTGCACAATTTTCCTACTTGCTCCAAAGGTCATTCATGTTGATGAAACAGTAAGGCATGGAATGGCAAGAGAATAAGGGAAGCATTGGACTGAGCCCTGTGCAACTGTAGGAAGACACTACAAATATTTTAAGGAGGGGCCATAAATCCATTAAGGCCATACTCAAAAATAATTTAGCAGCTCTGCTGCTGTCTCATTCCTTTTTCATTCCACCAAGACCCCCCAAAAGAGTTGATATGAGCACTGGTTCTCAAACCATCCAGGAAAGATCAATCCAGGAATCCCAGCCAGATGCATCTTAGCTGAACTCCATTTTCCCATCCCAAAAAGGAACCCCCCCCCCAAGTCCTGGTCCATAAACCTTCCCCTAAAGTGCAGATCCCCCCACCCAATAAAAGCCCTCATTGCTTTCAGATTCTCCCTCCTTGCTTAATGCAAAGCATTTGGCACGTTTTCTAATACAGCCATACTGGCAAATGCCCAAATATAGTTTTCAAGAAAGCCAGCAGAGGAAGCATTTCATGGGAGGTTATTCTGGCCCAGGAGTCTTGAGGGCTTTAGGAAGAAGGTGATGGGCTCAGCAGTGAGGTCCCAAACTGGTACGTGAGCTTCTTTTTCACCTTGCGGATCTCGCCCGTTTTGCCATAGTTGCGCAGAGCTCGAGCCATTTTTTGGTAGGTCATTTTTTTGCGGTTGCCTTTCTGCTGGCCCCAGCGATGTGCCAGAAGCTCCTTGTGCTTTGAAGAGAACTGGAAGATGCCTGCATCACGCTGCACCCACCACACACATTCTTTCATGTCACCACCTTCAAGGAGCTCCAGCAAAAACTGGTAGAGGCGGAGTTTTCGGCGAGAGCCTGCAGAAGAGACCAAAGATCGGGATGGACAGATGTGTCAGATGCCCCCCACCATCTGCTGTTCAGAGGAAAGCACTCCCCCAAGGAGGAAAGAAACCAGATTGCCATGACTGCAGCCTCTCTTATTCTCAAGGATGGCAGAGGTCTGAGAGGGCTTTTCAGCATGTCACAAGGCCAAAAATCTCTGCGACAAATTTCACATTTGTCTACCTGAATCTCTGATGGTAAATTAAAGTAAAATCTCTTTTTGGATTTCCTCCAAGAGTTAGGATATCAGGGGGGGGGCGGAGGACTTCTTGTGGAGAGTGGGAGAAGATCACAATCCTGACATTTCACCATTTAGCTCGAAGAAAATTCTCCCAAGCAATGGAAATTCACCCTGATGCTTGTTTTGTTATCCAGATGAAAACTGCCCTTAACCTTCCTCATTTGTTCAGAAAATAGGAACAGTTACTCAAGGCTGGGAATAGATAGGGTTCTAGCATCATATCACAGGATCTCTTCCATTCAGCTAATCATGCAAAGCAACCATTGGTTGTTTTATAGGCTATTCTAGAGAGGTTGAATAGGAACAAGAGACTTTTTGCATAATATCAATATGGACTTCATTTCACTAAACAGCACCTGTGAACAATGCATCAAGCTAGCACTATGGCATACTAGTATAAATAAGAAAGATGGTTGAAGAATCCTCACTATTAATTGTATACTGTAGACCAATAGTTAACTCTACCATGACAAAAAGCAGAGTTACCAGTTTCAGAATGAATGTAGAACTGATTCTAAGATTGAGAGGGGGCAAGGGGTTAAGAAAGGAATTCCCATATATACCTACAGCTAAGTCATAAGCAGGCAAAACAAAAATTAATAATTAAGAGATTTTCCTTTGTGGAATAATAACCAACTTCCTTGAGATGGCAGATGCTTACAGATTCTTAGTAGCATATTCTGATAAAAAAAATATCCTTATTTAGCAACCACAATTGGAATTGGCAACTCAGTCAGTAAAGCAAAGTGGTGGTTAAGTTAAACTAGGATTGTGTTTACAATCTCACTTCAACTTTCCGTTGCTTTAGGGATCTGCGAAGGTTGTAAATGCAAGGATTGGTCATAAAATTACTTTTTCATCACCATTGTAACTGCAAACAGTCATTAAATAAGAAAGTTGCTAAACATTAAAAGATACACCAGGCTCAATTGTCTCAAGGGTGCTTTTTCAAAAGACAGCTGGACTCCGTTTTTCCTTGACGATATTTTGCTTCTCATCCAGGAAGCTTCTTCAATTCTGAAGAATAGATGAGAAATGAAACATCTTAAAGGTAAAGCAAAGTTCAGTTGCCTTTTGAAAAGGTATCTTTGGGGCAACCGTGACCTGGATGACTGAGAATCTCCACAGATACCAAGCTCAATTCCTCTTAATTGTAAACATTCAGTTGTCTTAGCAGTGCTCCAGCATGTGTCTGAAATGCTTTTCAATTTCTCAATCTAGCCCACATATTGTGCCTTCTGAAATTTAGTGAGCAAGCTGCTTCCCCTCATCCTGATGCCCTTTGGATGTGCTGGGCCGCATCTGTTGGGAAAGAAGGCAAGTGGAATCTAATACATCTGCCAAATGCCAGGCTGTAGATAGCAGCTGTGTTCTGAGATCATATGCCTAAATTATCTATTGTGGATTGATTTCTTAGTGATGGTTTGTGCCTGGGGCATACTTTATTAGCTTGCAGATCAATACTCTGGGCCCTCTGTCATCTTTGGAGGCTTTATCTACTTTCTGAGTTAGGATTCTTACTCTCCACTCACCAGAATCAAACCTAGACAAGAGATTCTCATCCAAATCACTCTCAGAAGATACTTCCAGATTCCGGCCATCCTTGTGAATTTCCCCCTCTTCTGACAGTGGGCTACATATTTCCCTTGGAGCAGAATATTGTTCGTATGGCAGATAGATCTGTAGAGATCAAATGACAATTTAATGGAATGAAACATTTAAATAGCAGTTGCCAGTCTTGAGAGTAAGGACCAAACTGGATTACATAGATTATTACAAAAGTTAAATGGCTCTCCAGTTGATCTGTTTCTTTTATATGAAAGACAGCTTTATAATCTGAACCTTTTAATGTCACATAGCAAAGAAATACTTTTGGGGATAGGAAAAAGGTTATTTGTCTTACGCTTCCTGCCCCAAAGATCTCTAAAACCATGTGTACTGCCAGAAGGTCTCCATTTTACACTGGTTCAATTTTAAAATAGAATATACTGCCATGTTTTGTTGACAGCATTTCCTCATACCTTTCTAAGGTCCAAAGATTACACCATGCAGAAAACTCTATCTCTTGTCATTTATATATATATGACTGACAATGGGAAAACTGCAAAATACAGATCACAATGCAAGTAATGCTCCTACCTTATTCCCCCATCTAGAACAGCTAAATTCCAACAGTATTTTCTTTTATCAACTCCCCATTCTCTTGTCTGAAAACTCGAGGGTTAATGATTTCATATTCCTTGCTTAACCAATAGTACAAGTAGTCCTCAACTTACAACTATTTGTTTAGAAAGTTACAATGGCATTGAAAAAAATGGCTTATGACCAGGTCTCACACTTACGACCATTTTAGATTCCCCACGGTAATGTGATCAAAATTCAGGCATTTGGCAATTGACATGTACTTTTGACAGTTGCAGCATCCTGGAGTTACATGATCTCAGTCTGCAACCTTCCCAGCCAGCTTTTGTCAAACAAAGTGAAGGGGGGAAGCTGGATTCACTAAATGACAGACTGATTAACTTATCAACTGTAGCAATTCACTTGACAACTGAAGCAAAAAAAGTTGTAAATAAAGTGTGACTTGTTTAACAACTGCCTTATTTAGCAACTGAAATTATGGTCCTACTGTGGTCATAAGTCATTAGCAAAAGCCATGCTGGCCAGGAAATCCATATGTCTGGAAATAACCTGATAGGAAAAGAGTCATGGTCTTCCCAAGGAGATCTAAGGGATCCAGGTTCCTTTCCCCTTCCCAGATACTGAGGTTCCGCCCATTACCTCAGTGTTGTATTCGTCCTTGAATACCATAGCTGAATTCTGGGCCGGCATCATTCCCTCGTGGTTGTAGACTGGTTCCAGAGAGAGCTGTGGCTGGGGGTAAGTGCCAGGGGGGTAGGAGGCTTGGACATTCTGCAGCTGAGCCAGGTGTCCTATCTCAAAGGGTTCATATCCAGGTTCTTGCATCTCTAGCCAGTTCATACAAGACTCTGAAAGGCAAAACCCCAGGTCAAAAAGAAGAATCCAAAGGATCTAGAGAAGCTCACTGTTCAAGAGCATCCTATTAAAAAGTAATCCAAAGTCATCAGCAAACGTGCACAAACTTCAGGTTAGTAGGTGTTTTCTTTGACTATTCATTGCAACCAAAATCTACCAGCTAGAAGGGATGATGAAGTGTAATGAAAAGGAATAGCTACTGCAACTCTCTTTCCACCATACACTGGAATAACTACCGGGCCCAGCCTTTCATGCTTTCAGAAGATAGCTAAGAAATGGTTATTTCCGTGGATACTTAGTTCAGGTTGAGCAGAGTTCCCATTGGTGGGATATAACAAATTTTAGCTTCTGATTGCCATTAAATTGTTTATTTGTTTTAGTTATATATGTGGCACCTGGTTTGAACTGGGCAGCCACAAAAATGCTTAAAATAAAGCAATAAGCAAATAAACAAACCTGCACATTTACTGGAAATCAGTAGAGCCTCATATGCCCTTTCACCTGCTCTTGTTTTGTATTTACTGGTAATCTTCAACTTACAACCACAATTGGCATTGGAATTTCAGTCGCTAAGCGATATAGTCACTAAATGAGCCACTATGTCACCAGACCTGATTTTATGACCATTTTTACTGTGGTCATTGGGAGCATCAAGCAATTAACATGGTTGTTAAGCAAATCCAACTTTCCAAATTGACTTTGCTTGTCATGGCTGGGAAGGTTGCAACTTACAATCGCATGACCATAAGACACCACACTCATTGAAAATGCGAACCGGTTGCCAACTATCAGAATTGCAATCATGTATTCTGGGGGTAGTGTGATGGTTAGAACATTGAAGATGGGTCATGAGTCACTTTTTCTGATCCTGTTGTAACTTTGAACCATTGTTAAACAAATAGTCATAGGTCAAGGACTATCTGCAGTAGCCAGTTGGTCATCATCAACTACAGTTCCACGCAAGTGGACTGAAAACAGGCAGAAGAGAAAAAGAAAGACCGTGTGCTCTAAGAGTTAGGTGTTGGATTAGGAGGTTGAAAGCCAGATCTACTGTCCACATGAAAACCTACTAAGTGACATGAAGCCAGTCATTGTCTCTGACTGTTCTAGAAGCCTTTAAGGAGGAAATGGAAAGCAGGAGCTCTGTATATATTGCCCAGAATTCCTGGAGCAAAATGGGGATAGACCTTGAATTAATAAAGAAACACTAAGGAATATCACATCTTTGTCTTGACCCGATTTACTTTCCACAAAGAGGACAAAGAAAAGAGGAGGTCCTTCCCACACAGTCAGCATGCAAAGAGCAGATCAGAAAAAACAGCAAATGAGACTAATGCTTCCCTAGTCTGCTGTTCTTGATGGCTTTTCTATACTCCCTATCACAGGCAGCTTTCAATGGCAAGCTTCCAGCTTCTTAGTAGTATCAGAAATCAAGTAAATAAAATAGAATCACAGACCAGTTACAGGTAGTCCTTGACATACAACCACAATTGAGCCCACAATTTCTGTTGCTAGCAAAACAGTTGTTAAGTGAATTTTGCCCCATTTTACAGCCTTTCTTGCCACAGTTGTTAAACGAATCACTGCAGTTGTTAAGTTAGTAACATGGTTGTTAAGTGAAACTGGCTTCCCCATTGACTTTGCTTGTCAGAAAGTCACAAAAGATGATCATATGACTGCAGGACATTGTAACTGTCATTAATATGAGTCAGTTGCCAATCATCTTAATTTTGATCATGTGATCATGGGGATGCAGTAACTGTCGTAAGTGTGAAAAATACTTATAAGTCACTTTTTAGTGCAGTTGTAACTTTGAACTAAACAAATGATTGTAAGTTGAAGATCACCTGGACCATCTGTGGACTTCCCTTTAAGATGGTTTCATGTGCTGTTCTCTTTTCTTTTGCTGGTAAGACTGGTGGGGATTCTTTTGGGGAGGGATAAGGGAATCCCTGTGTATCATTTGCACTCATGTCCACTACTTGCTTAGAGATGTGGTTCTGCCCTTGACTGTTGAGGTTTCCCATGGGGAGGAGGCCTACATAATGCTTCTTTTTCCCCCCTACCACCTTAAGAGAATGGCTTCAGTGCTCACTTGGTTTGCTCAGGTACAAGAGATGGATGATGCACAGAGCTGACTACAAAGAGCTTTCTGTGTTCTGGGCAGCTGTAAAGTAGGGTCTGTGCAAATACCTGCCACCATGAATTTGCATAGGAATAGCAAGTTGTACCCTAACGCATATTTGCAGTCTTGCTTTTCCCCACCAGGGAGCAAAATCCGACAAGGCAGCAATGGGCTCACTGAATAGCTCAGAAGGTGGGTTTTTAAAATCTGTTTCATACAGTAGAATAAGGAACATGCTTAACTCCTATATTATAGCAAACTCGATTTGCAAAGTATGAATCTCTGATCAGACTAACTAGTACTATCTATTTTCAAACAAGAACTATCTTTAGACATTGAGGCAAGGGGCTATCACAGGGGACAATGCTTATAAAGCATTTCAAAAGAGGCTTGCGGGCTCATTAGGTAGGACATCAAACGATATTTTTCAGTACAATATTTTGTTGCAAATTCTACTTGGGACTTTGTATCTCTTCTATCAGACAAATTGCAATACTTGGTTTCCCTTTGGCTTCCTGCTAATGTAATTCTTGCATTTGTGTTGTTTGTTATTGATTATAACTTCCAATGAAAAATATGGTGGGTGCTTAAAATAGTCCCATGCACTTACATTTTTCAAGCTACATAAGAAGTGTGGTTTTGGTGAGCCTGCTAAAAGAAGACCAAAGCAGAAACAGTGAGGAAGATGTCGCTCATCAGGAACGTTATTTCCTAGCACATAGACCCACTACATACATGTTCATAGAATGAACATCCACATTTCCATTTACCACCAAGGCAGTACATGCATTGCCTATTGAGGAAAGAAGTGTCATTTCCCCCCTTCCAAGAAAAATGTGAAGAGCTCTTCCAATGGTTGCAAAGACTGCAGCAAATGAGGATAAAAAGTAGCCTTTCAATAAAATGAGAAGACCAAACACGTTGGACTTTTATGTTAAACTCAAAGGAGCTTCCTGCACTGGTCCTGGAAGATTGTCTATCGAAGCTTCCACAAGGCTAAGCCTGCTGGGTGAACTGAGCAAAGCAGCCATTTGTTCAGCCACTCAGTCGGGCACAGTAGGCTGGTAGCAGATATTCAAGGTAAGTAAAGGCTGCTTTCAGTTGACATTGGTATCAATAGGGAATGTGATCATGCTGTTTTTTCCAGCAACAATATAGAAATGGCCATTCACTTTCTCAGTCAAGCTCACAACGCAAACAAGGTCACCTAAGTGCTCCCCTGGGCTGAGATTAACGATAGTTATATTGTTATTGAGGAGTTGTAATAGTTACGTTATTATTGGATTGTTAGATTTGGTATGCAGAGAATATGCCAAATACTCCTGCTTCCTGTGTTCCCACAACCACCTCCCTGTGAGGTAGGCTGGGCCGTGAGAGAGCAAGTGGCTCAATGTCACCCACCCAGCTGGCCTTCATGCCTAAGGAAGACCTAGAACTCAGTCTCCCAGTTCCTAGGCCAGCCCCTTCACCACTACACCTAACTGGCAATGTCAAGCAGTGGTTAAAGTGATGAATTTGAATAGTAAGACCCAGGTAAATACCCACTTGACTAGAAAGCTCACTGCTGAAATGTGAGTCAACCATTCTCTTTCAGTTCATTCTACCTCATAGGGGTGTAGTTGTGGTGATAAAATGAGAGGGATGTCCTAAGTACAGTGCTCAGAGGACAAATGTAAAGGCCCACTATTTATCAAGAAGTTTGAGCCCTGAGTAGTATTTACGACAGGAGGCTGATCTCTCACAATGCCTAGGCACTTTACACCTTCCTAAGACTAGAAAAACCCCAAATATGAGATTGCATATATTGTGGCAGATTCCCATGAATGTTAACTATGCAGAAATGTCCCAGAAGTCAGGTGGCGGTTAGTTACATGACTAAATCAAAATTGCGCAAGAGACCAGAGCAGAGGGGAAGAAGGGGGAGAAGAGAGATCGGCAGCTGTGAAACAGAAAAGTGAGTGATAAGAGTTGCTTCTTGGAGCTCTTTAAGGCTGGGCAAAAGTGCCCTATATAAATCAGCAAGTCAGAGAGTGATAAACCATATTTATTTGTGAGGATAGCTGGGATCCTTGTGGTTGATTTCTGTGGCACCTTATTTCAAACTTTTGTTTTCTTTTATTTTTTAAGTGATGGATTTTCTCCTCTATCGTGGCCTTTTAACTGATTGGTTTTCTTTACAAATTTGCATTACACTGTAAAATATTGAACCACTAAAATAAATCTTACCTGGGGAGCTCTCCGGATCTCCAAGGCAGGGAGGAAATGTGGATTCTTGCTTGTAAGAGTCCAAATCACTGATAAATCCACTGGGGAACTGAGAAACATAGGGATGTTGTAAGTATAATATAAACTCCTGAAATGTTTCCCAAGATCCATTAGGAAGGCAAGGGACCCTGCCTTGTCAATCCATCCAATCCTTGCTTCAAGACTGACATTTTCCCACCATGAATTCTGCAGTCATGACTTCTGCCAACATCTCATTACGCATCAGTGGAGGGGTGAAAGATGTGCATGATGATGTCATCTCATAAACCATATGACATATATTTATATCAGGCCAATTGCTTCAGGCTATTCTTTGGCCACTGGTGTGTGTGTGTGTGTGTGTGTGTGTGTGTGTGTGTGTGTGTGTGTGTGAGAGAGAGAGAGAGAGAGAGAGAGAGAGAGAGAGAGAGAGGGAGGGAGGGAGGGAGAGAGGGAATTCAAGATGATAGCTGCAATGCATTTGGTTGCCATTTTGCCTTTTTTAAAAATCATCTCCCATACCTGCGATTCCCATTCTCCCTGAGAAGTGAAAATACCATTTTATTTTCAGTCTCTGGTAACCTCCTTTGTCTGTTCCTCTCTCTTCCTTCCCTCCCACTCTTTTCTTCACTTTCAACAGGTTAACAGAAAAAGTACAAAGAGGTTTGAACCTCCTAAAATTAGGTCAGGGGTCTCAAATTTCCCAACCCTATTCAGAATTTGAAATCACATGCTTACCATATAGCCATATTGGGATCCATCAGGCCTGTGAAGAGAGAAAGAAAATTGGTAAGCAGGTATACAGGCTGCCTGTACTAAGCTCATGTCTCTCAACTTGATATTACCAAGAACATTGAACAATGATTAAAACAGCCAGCACTAAAACGTTAGGCTCAGAATGACAGGAACTTCCTGCTGTATATTTTTCTTAGTTGTTTGGGTGGATAATATAAGATTTTCTTTCACAGATCACATAAATCTACACATAGCCATGCTTATTCAGAGCAAGTTCCACTTTGTTCAATCAAATAAAAGTGGAATTTAATCAGTTAAGATTTCTTTGACTAGAAGAGTATTTTATACATCTTAACAACAACTTTCATTATCCCTATTTCAGTAGCAGGGGATTAATTTTGAAATACACATTGATCTGGGATTACAACTGAATAGACATATATGCTGTATGACAGTCCTATAATTAGCCTAGGAGCTTTCCTTAGTAATTTATCACTATAAATTATCCCCAGAATGGGGATCATGATTTATGCAGCCTCTTCCCATTGGCTTGTGTACCACCAAACACTCAACCCTGGCTGCCTTTCATTGTTGCCACAACATTCTGGAGAGTAAAACCAACAGGGCTGTCTTTGGCTTTCACTTGTTGCCTACAGGGATGGGCAAGAGAAAATTTGGAGGACATCAAACACAAACTATTGGATGGTGACAACAATACATTATGCTAGCAGGACATTATTTCGCCATAGCAAGGAGTAATGCCTGGTAAAGCTCCATGATGAAGAAAGAGTTATGTATTTTATATATTCCTATAGTGACATTTGGTTCAAGTGAAAAAAATGCAAGATTTACATGTCTCAATAAAAGAGAACAGATGTAGGTAAGAGATGAACTCTGGGTGCTCTCTGAGCTTGGTTATTTGCTTGCAGATGTTTCTTTATCTGACTAGGTAATATCATCAGCGCGAGTGAGTGTGGGGTCTGCTCCCTGACAATAGCTTGCCTCGCCAGTGTGGTGGGGTTGTGGATTTCTCCTTGGTTGTTCTTTGATTGCGGTATTATTTTCTGCTTGATTATTAGTCTGGTGTTAATCAAGGGGAACAAAACCTAAATGATATAATTCTACAGAGAGACACATAGAGATAAACCATATTTACACACTTTTCAAAACAGACAATACTATAAAAAGGCTAAAAAGGGCAGAACAGATCCTCTCCAGCAACCAATATCCAGATAAGCATGGATTAACAAACAATTAAGCAGAAAATAATATCAACATCAAGGAACTACTGGCAGGACAAATTACTGTGCATAACCAGGAAGCAAACTCCATGCTCACTAGCACTGAAGATGTTACCTAATCAGGTAATGAAATGACTGTAAGCAAGGTAAACATGTACAGATTTCATATACATGTCCTCCAGTGGGAATAAAACCTAATTCTATATAATATAATCCTACAGAATTTTCATTCAGAGTAAAATTGGAAAGTGTTCAGAGAATCTATTTTTTTCCTCCTCTACTACTATTAATTCATTGAAATCAATATAACCTCTTCTATTCCACAAATATAATCACTAGACTGAGTATCCTTACCAATTGCAGTTCATCCCCATTTAACATCATCTTTAGCCTCGTAACCTATTCTTTGAATTAATTTTCCTAAAATCAAGGGTTCTTCAGATTTATTGAACTCCAGGTTTCATAATTCCCATTATTAGTATGGGGGGTGTTATAGTTTAGATGCTGGGATTGTTGTAAGCCACCTAAAATAGCCCCACAACGAGATAGGCAGCAAATACATTTAACAATTAAAATAAAATGGTATAAAAGATTCTAATGATTTACAAAATGAGCTCTGTCGTGCAATCTTTTCTGACATCTGTAAGGCCTGAGAGTGGGGAAGGCTGCTATTCCTTTTAGAGCTTAGGGTGCATTTGGATGTGGCATCAAAAGCCCCAAGGGGGGAATTGGGAGCTACTGTTCCCTACCCCTGGGATAAGATGCCTTCTTTGAATCTGGGTGAGTAATAATTCATTAGGAGTTATATCAAGTTCCCAAAAGGATGAGTGTGGCCATTTCTGCATTGCATTGATGATGGAAATACAATATGCTAAATACATCGGCATAGCAAAGCATTGTCATATTTTGATACAGCTCCATGCTAGTTAGAAATTATGCAAGTTAGAAGTTAAAATGCCTGAAATCAAGGAGGAGGAGAGGGGCAGGAGGGGGATGGTGATAGCTCCTACAGCATGACCCATTCACTTACCATGACATCATTGTACATGGCTCTGCCCATGATACAAAGAAAGAAAAGAGAAAGTGTGACTCCTAAGGCTGAACATAAACCATGTAGTACCTTCAAACAGGGAGCAGCTTTTTTCATAAAGGAGAGATATAGGAGAAAGAAAGAACAAGTTCCCCCCAACTTGCTCCTTCAGATGTTTTGCTCCAACAACTCAATCACATCTCAGTTACGTTGACTTTGCTTTTAACCTTCAGCACAGGGCATCTAGATGGGGAAGGCTTCCTTCTAGATAAGGAAGGGGGAGGGGGCTTCCCAGTATTGTGCAATATATAACCATCTTTGCTCTACATTGTACACTTACTGTATGGAGGGTAGTGGCAGAAGCAATCTCACCATTAACTAGAGCCAGTCAGCTATCTCAGACATCCAATTTGGTATGTTGAGAAAGGCAGTTATTAATTCCTTCATTTACCCTGGCTGTGATCATACTAGTATGAAGAGGGGGAAAACTTGTCAACCTAGGTCACTTCACCAGCTGAAGCAATTTTATTTATTTTTTTAAATGTATTGTACACCAAAAAACTAGATTTTCCCCAGGGTGGCTTCAAGCAGACTAAAATCACACATGGTTCTAGGGAACAAAGCACTATAATTAATATTAATATTGAAAGAATCATGGCAGCACCCCAAGCTTCAACAAAATGGGCCAGCTCTGGGTAGAAATGGGCAAAAATCAGCATTTTTGAGTAGAATTACAAAGCAAGAGAACTGTTCATTGTCTCATTGTCACACTCTTGTGCTGGGGAAATATTCAAATCTAATTTTCCCAACCTTCACCAGTCTCAATATTTGCATAACAGACAACAGGAAAGAAGAAAAGTGAGAGGGAGAAAAGTATGGGCTGGACGGAAACCTAGAATACAGAACATCTGGTCAGGTACAGGAGATGACAAAATAAAAATAGCAGCAAGGCTGCTAATTTGGAGAATAGCTGGCAAAGTATGAAGTTATCTCTATAAATTACAACTGTTGCACATTTTCTGCAAAACATTGTATAAGTCAATTTTCTAAAAGGCTGCAATGGGAGTAATAGCAGCCAAAATATTCCTATATAAATAAGACAGGCATAAAAATGCCAGAGTCAAAAGTGAAGTCCACTTAGTATATTTGGCATACACTTAAAGAGATGGAGTGAAACACTAGATTGCATTAAGCTTCAAGAAGTGAAGGACAGAACAAAAATGTCTCAAGATGAAAGCTACTCCTGTTGATTATATGAAGATGTCCATTTGGGAGTGATTCCCAAGGATTTCTTTTGGGAAGCTTTTTAAATTCCAATGTAGCTTATAACTCTTAAGTCTGCAAAGAGTATCCCATCTAAGTATTAAACAGTTCCAATCATGTTTAGATGTTTTTATTGTTGTTGTTATTTTTGTTTTGTTTTGCTAGAGCCAAGATCAAGAAGGATCTGCCTAAATTAAAATCCTAGGTCAACCATAGGGCTGAAGAAGTAATCACGGATTCTCTGTCCTTCTTCACTGGGTTGTTGTGAGAAGAGAATGAAAACTGTACAGTGCTTAGATAACCTTTTAAGTAAAAATGGGATTGAGTGTAATAGAACCTAAATCAGGTCTGCCTCCTTTATGCCCTCACTCCCAGCAATGAGATTTTAACTAGCTCTTTATTTTCATTTATGACTTTTGACATTGTTTTATGAAATATTAAAAACATGTTGCTTTGTCAGTTTTAATATACATGCATACAAACTGTTTTCTAGCAAGAAAATAGCCTTTTAATTTTCAGTTTTGGCCCCCAACTTTTTGCTTCATTCTTTTTAGACGTTTTGGTGGACAAACTTTAGGTGGCTGTGGGTTACCCATTATAGTTGGGAAGACTGAGGACTATAAAGTGGGTGCAACTGGCTTTGGTGAGAACTTCAGAAGTTATTAACTGTACGATAGGCTTCTTTTAGAATTTCATATTTTAATTTAAATCTGTATAACAGCTCAGCATCACGGGAAACTTTGTCATTCTTTCCAGCGACACTGATCCAAAGGGGGCTCGGGGGAGGGGTCCCAAAAAGGGATGTTGGAGATTTATGTGGGTTATGAGCCACAAGTTGGCTACCTCTGCCGATGGGCATCTGTCTTTCCCAGGCGATACGTCTGTTTTGCAAGCGTTGCGGGGCAGAGCCCGCCGAGTTCCACAGGCGCCCAGTTCTAGCACCTCGGCGCAGATCCACTGAAAAGGGCAGGTAGGCGCCAGAGCCGGTCAAGCGGAAAACTGCCCGCTTCTGTGGCCAAAATCTACCAGCCCGGTAAGAAAGATGCGCGATTCAAGAAGGCGCCACTGTCCATTTTTACGTGCGAACCCGGAACACGAGGATCCGCTGTGCCCACGCTGAAATGCCACAATATTACGCTTCTTTAAGCAACTATAACACATCAAATCCGCGGCTCCCATCAGGGTCCGCTTCTGCCCTCTCTCCCTCCGTTCGCCCCCGACCCAGTTCCCCTCGCACTCACTGCGCGTAATCCAAATCCAGCATCCTGGATGGGCAACGACGGGAAGCGTGTGCCAGTCCGCTAGCCCGCCGAGGCGCTTTCAGCGGCAGCGTCCAGCCTTCTCCAGTGGTGCCACCAGCAGTTTCGCCGACAGGGGAGCATTTATGTAGCCTTGCGATTCGCGACTCGAGAGGGGAGTGACCTCAGACAAAATTCCCCCAGATAGGTGGGGCTGCCCTAAGACGGTCCTTGCGCAATGAGCGCCTACAGCGAGGAGTGTTGGGGGGGGGGAGGTGGAGTTGTGGGAATTGTATAGTGGATCTCACACCATCTCAGTTAATACACCAGATCCGGGGACAGAGATGCCTGAGGCGGTGCAGATTTTCCCGTTCCAGCCATACAAAACGCCGCCTTAGATCCGAATCACAATGTTGTTACCAGTCAAAAACTCGGACGAGGTTTCCTTCTGTTTTAGCCTAAAGCAATCGGCCAAATTGGACATAAAGACCAATAGTTGCCGTTTGGAGCAGTGAGAGAGAAAGAGAAAAAGATTGTTCAAAATACTTTTACTAGACCAGCTAAACTTTTATAATCATTGTAAATGTTTGGGAAAGAAAAAATAGACACAAATATGTAAAAGTTAGGAGAAATGAGGCTACAGTAGTACATTCACCTCCCCTCCCATTCAGAAATTATGTTTTTTCTCCATAGGTTTTTTTTTTCAATTTCCACTACTTTGGACTGCAGCGACCCTCATCTGCTGTGGTGATGGGCTTTGAAAAACATTGTATTGTAAGGAACCATTGTGAAAAGATTCAGGAGGGAGGATTTGATTAATTGTCCTTATAAAATAAAGAAAGGCCAAAAAAAAAAAAGTTATCCTCTGGCACTGTAAAAATTAAACAACTGAATCTCAGAATTATAGCATTAGTTTATTTCATTGCATAGAACTTTAATGGTCAGTTTTGAAAGGTGAAGGATTGGATTAGACCATTGGAAAAGTAGATCAAGACTCAAAACACAGAGATGGATTTAGATATCATTGCACTCCAACATTGATTTATTATTTGTATAATTAGCTTTATGCAATAAGTTCACATGGTGCAATAAGATTGTGTGTTTGTTGTCACTGTGAGTTGTGTTGGGGGGGAGTGCACGAAGGGAGGCTCAGCCAATCTCATTGTACACATGTTGTACTTTGACAATAAAGGTTGATTTGATTTGATCCCACCTTTATTTTGTACAACTCAAGACAGTCTGCAAATACTCCCACCCTCTTAAGTTGCCCATAACAAAAAGCTTGCGAAGTGTGTTGAGTTGAAAGAGAGTGACAGGCCCCAAATCATTCAGTCAGGATTTAGGGAGGCTAGAACTCAACGGCCTCCCAGTTTTTAATTCAGCAGATTAACTACTACCCCATATACAGAACTCCTGAAAGATACAATACTGACATCCAAAATATAAGTTTTGCTAATTTGAGCACTGGAGAATTCAAATATAAAAAAAAAAGATACAGTTGCTGCTTTTTGTCCATTTCTGCCCAGAGTTGGCCCATTTTATTGAGGCTTGGGCTGCTGCCACTGTTCTTGCTCTTGTATTGTTGTTTCTGGGGAAAAAATAAAGTAACTTCTTATCAGAGCAGGAATTTTTCAGGTAAGTCTCTTTCCTATTAAAAATGTTCCGTTTCTAGCATTTACCAAAAGTAATATAAGACTAAAAGAATTCATAACCAACTTTGGTTCCATCACATAACACAATTACTGGCTTCACACAATATTCTAAAATATAATGTGGATGATTTGACTTTGGCTTAGTCCGTGTTGTTTGTTAATCATAGTTTTTGTTTAATATAGTGTGTGAACATAGCTTGACCTTATAAAAATCTAAGCATACAGGAAAAATAGCGGGGAATGTATAGCTAGATGGTATTGCAAGAAGGTGTTTAAAAAATATATTTTTAAAGCAATATTCATGTAGTGGTCTCACACAAACCATGTTTTGATGTAGTATTTGATGATTTAATACATTTGATGATGTATTCAGTGGCTTTGATTGCAGAATTTTAAATGCTAGGCTAGGAAACAAAGGCAAAAATGTTCAGCAGGTAAAAAATCTCTTTTCTAACAGAGCAAGTTATTGCAACCAATCTAGAAGGCCAAAGGTGCTTTTTCAGGAGGCAACTGGATTTTCTTGTGGGTTTTTTTTTTAAAAAAAACAACATTTCACTTCTCATCCAAGAAGCTTCTTCAGCTCTGCCTGGATGGTGGGGAATGGAAGGATTTATATGCCACACAGACAGCTGGTCATTTGCATTCTTTTAGAGATTCGTTTTACCTGTGTCATCAAGGTCATCTGAATAGTGCAAATGGGTGTGGAGCCTTCTTGGCTGCAAGATGTTTTCTGCCCTGTGTCCCTTTACTGTTGAAGACAAGCAAAGGCTGTTGGGGATGAGTCTGTATTGTCTGCATCTCAAACTGAGCTGCAAATGGTTCCTGTAGTCTGAAATTTTTCTGGAAATCCATTCACACTCCCACACCATTTGAAAGGTGTTCATCCCAAAGTGCATGGCTACAGTTCTATGGAGATTCTCAATCACTCAGGTCATGGTTGAATGAAATCCTTCCATTCCCCACCATCCAGTCAGAGCTGCACACTGTTGCTTCCTTCGCTCAATCATTATTCCACTATACTGTTGTCACTCTACTCTTCTAAAACAATGTTCCCAACTTTGTCAACTTTTAAGATATGTGGATTTCAACTTGCAGAATAGCTGGCTGGGGAATTCTGGGAGTTGAAGTTTGGCAACACTTTTCTAAGATTATCCAAGCAATGCATAATATTCACTCAACCTTGTAAAATGGGTTAGTCTAAGAGACAGAGAAGCAGCAAGATTTGAGTTCAGTCCACTGAACAGTGGGCTGACAGTGGGCTGACAGTGATCCAAAACTCACAAAGTTTCATCCATCAAGTTCTTTTTTGCCCCTCTTCAAATACAGTGAAAGGGCAGGATAGCACTATTGCCCCTTTGAAGCAAAGAACAGGATGCGTATTAATAATTATTGCAATTACATGGTACATTTCAATGTCTTTTCCATTTCACAATGGTCCTGAGAGGTTGGTCCTTCATAATTTCAGTTTACTTCTAGAATTTAGTACAATAGTGAACAAAAATTCCTTCTTAGGGGTGACACCATGTTATTATACTATCTTCACAAATTCTTTTGTCTTCTCTTTTCATGAGCTGATTAGATCTTCCCTGCTTGAGCTTTTTATTATCTCCCACAGGAGGTACAGCTGCCCCCACTTAAAAAACAAGTATTTTAAAACAATTGAATATATCTTCTCTTGGTTCTTGTAGACAACAATTGCTCAGGACTAGACTGTCTCTTAAGGGAATGTTACAATTAGTGTTATAGTGAAATTAATTTTTTTACTGCTTGATAATTTGATTAAACATTTTTAAATACAGTTCTGGAATAATAATAATAATAATAATAATAATAATAATAATAATAATAATAATAATAATAATAATAATAATAATAATAATAATACTGCTAATAACCATTTAGCCCATAATAAGTCAGACATGACTGTAGTTAATAAAGAAACAAGTATAGATAATTGTCATTGCAATAGCTGCAAATAGAAAAGTCATTAAGAAAGAACTAGAAAAAAATAAGGCAATAATAAAACCTTCAATAGAGATCAAGCAATTGTGGAAAAATGTCATAGTAGTGCCAATAGAGATTAGTACACAGTCCTGTACTAAAAGATCTGGAAAAGCATTTGGGCCCAATAATAGACAGAATCTTATCAATTAAAAAAATTCTATTATTTGGAACAGTATTACAATATCTTCAACTATCTTAGGTCCTTGGGAATGACTCAATAGCCAAAACTACCAAATCCAATCAGCATTAGTTGGTAAACTATGTAAACAACATTTATTTTTTTTGTAATCTACATTTTCTTTTCTTTTTTTAATGGAGTTTATTTGCTCCCATTTTACCATGTGTTGTTATTATTCAGCAGCTAAAAATATTGGCCTTGTCTGGCTAAAAAGCAAAATTGAAAGTTATCATCGATTGTGTTCATTTTACAGATAAGCTGTTAGTAAAAAGTTGCTGAATAAACCAGTCCTACATGAAAGCTTTGCATGTAACCAAACCACATGGGAGAAAAATGAGGAGGCATATTGAACACACTTGCCATTTCTCCCCAGTGTCACCATACCAGTTTTCAGATACTGGAAAAGTTTAAGTGTTCCCATATGTTTAACACCGAAAAGCAAGCAGTCTAATACCACATGTATTATATATTTTACTTTTTATTATTCTGTAAGTCACTCAGAGACTCTATAAGAGTGAGATGCGAGGCATATAAATTTAATAAATAAGTAATAATTTACTTTAGCAAGCCTCTAGTTCTGAAGAAAGATCACTGAGCAAAGCTCGATTCTTAGTAAGTCCACATGTTTGGCCATGTAGTCTTCATTGAAACAAGAGGTTAGCCATTGCTTTCTTCCAAAACTTCCCACCTCGTTTCCTGTCTTGTGGTCTTCCAGATGCTAACCATAATTCCTTGGCATTTTTAAGATCAGCTATGGTTGGCTGCCTGGGTGTTTACATAACCACCAATCTTTTTCCTTAAGATGTTCCAAGTCTCTCTCCCCCCCCCCCCCCGCCCCCAGTTTCTCAGCAAAAGCTGAGGACCCCTGCATCCAGAGATTAGTACATCGAGATTGTTACATGGACTCATGCCTTCCCACATATCAGCCTCAAGAGGGGAGCTCACGTGGACAACCAATCATAACTTGTGAAAGAATCAGAAAGGCTTTTTATCTCTTTAGACACCTTTCTCTGCTATCTGGACTGCCCTGCCTCTGCCATCCGGATTGGGGGAAGGCTCTTACTCAACAGAGGAAAAGGCAGAGAGACACCTATCCCACCCCCATCATTTGGTCTCATGCATTCTCTCTTCCTCTACTTACACCCAAGGACCTACCACTGCCATCTACAACTTCCAGTTTAGGTGAAAGAGA